TTCTGGGCTTTTTATCTTGCCGGGACCTAGTTTAAAATACCACACAGAAGGAGCCGAAGATGTAGATACATGTAATCTCAGTTCTTAGGAGCCTCAGGCAGGAGGATCAGATGTTTGAAGTGAGTCTGGGTTCCATAGTGAGATTTCACTTCAGAAACAAGCAAGTCAGCTAACCGAACAAGCAACCATTCTGGCTTTTATCATGAATACTCTGTAGTGCTATTTTTTAATATCTGAAGTTTAACCCAAAGCTGCTGTAATTTTAATAATCGTTGCGACATCCTTATTTTGGTATAAAGGTGGAATAAAGAAGAGACATTTACCGTAAAACGCTACGCCTTTTGATCTGTAGGTGTTTGGGTGTGACGAGTGTTAGATGACAAGGCCTGTATCCACTTATAAACACGCCGGCTTATGGAGGAGAACTGGGATGGGGAAGCCTCGACGCCATCACTGGATATAAACCTGCCAGAGCCAAGGAGGATGCACAGAAGAGTAAGACCCAGCATCGGATGGGCGAGGATACTTCCGGCATCCACAGGTCAGATCTGCTTGTGTGGGATGCTGAGAAAGGGGAACTACAACAACTTTCAGAGAGAATGGAGAATGCAGAGGAGGGCTGGAGCCTCACACCCATGATGGGCTGTGTCTGAGTAGCAGCACATACTGCTCTGCGCTCCGAAGAACACAGTGAAGAAGTTTCACAGAAAACTTAGTTTCCTATTCTGAAACTGAGATGGAGCAGGCAAGGAGAGAAACAGGAGGAACCCAAGGAAAACTGCTGCTGGGTGGCTGCATCTGTCACCTGGTGGTCAGAGTGTCCCTGATATATATACACATACAATCAAGGCTTGGGGTAGGAGAGATGGCTCAGCAGCTAAGAGCACTGGTTCCTGCAGAGGGCCTGGTTTGACTCCCCATGCTCACATGGTGGCTCTCACTGCCGGAGGCTCACACCTTGGGGAGCTGCCCTCTTCTGCCCTCTATAGGCACCAGAGAGAACAGTCACACACATAAAATAAAAATAAATCTAGATTTTAAAAAGTTACAATGCCTTTTCACTTCCCCAGTTGCAACTCAGGTGTGCTAACCAAGGGTCTGCACCCTCAAAAGACCTCTTCTTTATTAAAATACCACTTGCAGCACGGTGTTGAAATGATCATTGGGAGAAATGGCCGAAACAGGAGATCTGGTCCACCGTGATGTGGGAGGAAGTCACTTTTCCTCTCGAATATGCCACTCACCTCATGAAAGTCTGTCATTTAAAAATCTACAACCCAGAGCTCGGAGTGCTGCCCTCCTCTTTCTGCTCAGCCCACTCTAATCTCTCTGAAGTACATGATTCACTTTAATAAATTGCTTAAAATGTCCGTGTTCCTTGGTTGTAGTCTTGCCTTTGAGAAGAACTGAGGCAGCACGTTTCATGGTAACAGAAGCCCACTGTGTGGGGAAATGAGTTCCATTTCTAGAACTTAAAGAGGAGGCTGGAGACCACATCCTTTGCAGTGTGGTGGGAAACAGATGAGGTGGAAAGTTAAGGGCTCCAGAAAAGTGGTGAGGTGTTCTCAGACCACCCCAGCACACCCTAAAAGACACCCACACTATAGCATCCACATGCAGTTTTCTCAACAAAGGAAATAAAATCAAATCACTAGTTTATAAGACCCTAACAGGTGCATCCAGGATGCTACTGCTGATGGTCCCACACTCTACCCTCTCTTGAGTCGATCACATCTAAGCATGTTTCTCAATCATGGCTCTCACCTTGGGCTTGCCCTGCCTCTAGAGTAGGAGGCAGCAGGGAATGGTCACAGCACAGAAGTAAGCCTCAGGAACTGTGGGAGTGAGTGGATGAACACTCCTGCCCCTTTGCCTGGTGGCTGGCGTCCTCCAAGACCTGGGTCTCAGAGGGGTCAGGCTCATTTCCCATAGTGCAGGTTTGTTAGGATGATCCCTGCCCTCCCATGGGTGAAGTCTCCTAGGACCATTCCCCAGACAAAATCGGATCTACGCACAACTTTGTCTCAAGAGAGACTGAAGCAGAAGGCAAGGATGTGAAATACTTTCATCTGTAGGTGGAACTTAATAAGGGTCTAATTCTGTTGAGAGAAATGCCAAATTACACTTTGATGTTTTTGCAGTCACTCTTCTGCTGCCCCGAAACCCTTTGATCCTCAACCATTCAGAATGTACACTGGAGACAATCTAAGACATTTTTGCTTGCTTGAGACCCTATCTCATTGTGTAGTCTGGGAAGCCTCAAACCAGATTTGAAGAACAGGCTGGCCTTGGCCTCCTCCTGGATGCGGGCACCACCAAGCCCAGCCAATGATGGTATTTTTAGAGGAAGTCTAGCAAAGATCTTAGCTAAGACCACTTTTAGTAGTTACATTAACTGAGTCTTTTGGATCCCGAGTAATTTGTTTAGATTAATAACATACCCTGAAAACATACGCTAACTTGTTACATCCTTTGTGAGTGGATTAATTGCCTACTCTGATAATATAAATTCATTTTTAGAGCTAGAGTTTTAGATTTCATTACTTTCTAAAATAGTGTTAAAATTAGCAACATACTAAGCTAGAGTTGATTCAGTGGTTGAGAACACTGGCTGTTCTTCCAGAGGACCCAGGCTTGGTTCCTAGCATCCACATGGTCACTCACAACCACCTCTAACTCCAGTCCCAGAGGTCCTGATGTCCTCTGCTGGCCTCCCTTGACACTGGGCACACACATGGTGCACATACATACGTGCAAGCAGACAACTGATACGCATTAAATAAAATCTTTTTAAAGAAAGGAATATGACTCCGAGCCACTGTCCTCAGAACTAGCCTAATCTAGAGACAGGAGATGTGAAAAAAAAAGTTCTCTGAAAATAATTAAACTTGTTGAAAATGCTATAATTCTTCTTTATAAATATCAACCTAGTTTGCAGCTTAATATCGTGTTAAATGAAGATTTAACACTTCTGATGTAAGTAAAATATATGTCCAGTTGTCTCATATTTTGATATAACTACTTAACTTTTTTACTTAAAGAAACAAAATTATATGTGTTAAAGAGTAGATATTTTAAAACAAATTTTCTCGTAAATGCTTTGTTTCCTATGCTGAACAAAACAAATCTCTCTTCACAGAAGGATCTTTTATTCGAGGAGTTAATTTTGTCAAAGGCACTGATAACATTCAAGGACGTGTGGGTTTTTCAGTAAGATTTTCGGAGGCTCGGGTTGTTGACATGGTTCACTGACTTCCCCTGTGGCTGCTGCTACCTTTTGGTTGTTCATAAGCCCCGGCGGCCAGCGGACCAGCAGCTCGGAAGTTGCACACTGGCAGGGGAAGAGGAAACAAAGGCTCCTGCGGAACAGCTTCCAGCTTTCAAGTTTCAGCTACTCGGTGTTTTCATCCCTATGAATCGTGCCCTTGTTGACGGCCAAGTTTTCGTTTTGATACCAGTCACTATGTTCAACTGCAACACAATTTGTGACTGCTGTTCGTTTCACAGGTGACCTTCGATCGCCTCAGATTTCACCCAGATCCTTCTCAACACTTCTCAGCGTTCAACAGAACGAGACACGCCCTTGAATTTGTTCCTATTGGATAATCACCTTTTATAAAGTGTAAATATCAATAATATATAGGACTTAAGCACATAAGATGAAATTCCAAAACAAAACTTTGAGACAATAATATGACTTTGATACTTCCCCTAAATCTCTATAAACTACCTCTCTCATCTCTATTTCATCATCTGACAGTCATTTCTTAGCTAAAATAGACAAAAAGGTCCAGTACACACTCAAATGTTCAGTTCTCACACCGGGTGCTCTCCAAGGGAAACCATTTTAAGGAAAAATGCCTTTGATGTCTGGCTCAGTAGGACTTCCTGTGCACTTCCCGTTTTAGTTTGCTGTGGTCTGTTTTGGAAGGAGTACATTAAGGAAAGCTCACCCGGAAGAGATCTGGATTGGAAAAGCAAGTATTCCAGTGGCCCTTTTAGATTAAGTAGGTATCTTTCTCCCTTTTTCATGCAATGCCAAAGTTTAAATGGGAGCTTCTTTAAGATTAGCGGCAGCTAGGGAACGGCCTTAACACCTTTTTTGCCTCGCAGTTCCAGCCGCTTTGCCAAGCGCTGGTTAACTGGAAGACCCTACGACTCATGGACGAACATGTAAAGTAAACGTTCTAGCAATACTACAAACATGGTTCCAGTTATCTGAACACCCTTACGCCCCACCCAGGAACCCCCGCATGGGCCGAGAATCACTCTCATGTGGGCTACAGATTTTGTGGGTATCAGCGGCTGCAAACATCACAGACCTTGGGACAATCATTTCCGGCAAGAAAAAAAATAACTCAACTAGAAGAAAATAAAGTTAAATGTACTTCACGCTTATGAATCAACTAAACATAATGGCTAAAAGGCGTAAAAATCACTCACGCCTCTACGTTCTGGAATAATGTGAATACTCTGACTTACTGAACTAAAGCTATGCTGTATTTTACAAATCTAAACCCAGATTTAACATGTTGGCCAAACCCTAAAAATTCTCAAGATTTCTTGAAAGCATTCTGCCCATACTTCTGTGGCATGTCCTTTCACCTTCCCTATAGTATATATTCTTTTTTAAAAAAAAATTAAAAACAATTTTCTACGGCGGGTGACCGGAAGCTCAAACTGTTTTCTGAGACCCGGGTTCGCTGAGCCCCGCGGCCAGCTCGGAGGTACTGAGCATGCGTGCAAACCGAGGCCGGCTCGCCCTGGTAAAGGTCAGGGTCTCGAGAACGGCCCGGTACTCTACTGCGGAAGGACCGACTGCCACCGCCGTCCTGCGAGCAGAAGCTCCGCACCGGGAACCCTTGCATCTTCAGACGCCTTTCCCAAACCAGCCGGGACTACCGGAACGATCGGCGCGTCCGAACCGACCGCCCTCCCGCACGCACTTCCGGTCCTAGCAGGAAGGGGAGGACTCCGGCCGAGCGTGCTCGCCCCACAGGCCGCGCATGCGCCTTCCTCCTGGCGGCTCGGGAGCGCCTCACCGGGTCGACTTTGCGCTCGGGTTGAGAGTGCGCCTGCGCGGTCGCTGGGGGGCTCTCCACCTCCGCCTCCCCTCCCCCTGACGCCCCGTGGGGGCTCCGGGCCCGGCGGGACCATGTTCACCAGCACCGGCTCCAGTGGGCTTTGTGAGTACCGGCTTCTCCATCCTTGGGGCTCTCTTCGCTCCGTCCTGGGCACTTCCCGGACCCGGCTTGGGGGCCCCGGGGACTCGGCTTTGCAAAAGGCTAGGGGGCCCCTTGCGTCCCGCGTCCGAGCCTTGGCAGTTCTTGGGGGGGGGCAGCGGGTGCCGTCCCCACCGCAGCCCCGAAGGCCGAGGGGGACGCCACGTCCAGTTGGTTCCCAGTACCTCCCGGGGCACGGTGCGCAGCAGCTCCTGCCCTGCTGCAGGTGGGCTGGGCAGTTGGGGTCCGGCCGGCAGCCCCGCTGCTCTCGTGGCCCGGGCCCACGCACGCCCTTGATGGCTCTAGTCCGGGGCTGGACGACATCCCCTTGGGGCGACGCAGGAATTCTGCCCGCTTCCCTCTCACCTTTCATTCATACGAGCAGCTTTGGGACCTACCTGACTCCCGGAACGTGTGAATTTCACCCTCCCCTCTAACATCTGCCTGTTCCCTTAGTTTTAACTCTCGTGTACTTCTTCCCCTTTGTCCCTGAAGAGTTTTGGGGAGCCAGAAAACTGACTAAAGCGCTTTAAAGTGCAGTTAGGAAGTCATTTGGCCACAGAACGCACGCTTTGCTCCTGGATGTGATCAGCTCCACCCGCCTGGAGTGTCAAGCTGTGGTCAGGAGGTAGAAGGCCGAGAAGTTTCAGCCTCCGAAGCACCTTTCCCCCACACCCACTGTGTTGAATTGACTTTAGAGAGAGCGGACTCTTAACTACACAGTGTTGAGATTAGGCGCTGATACACCAGTAGCAAACTGAACAAGCTTCAATTCGCAGTTACTTATCGCTGTTGGTACTTCCCATTTCCGCATGCCAAGTTTCTGTTGCCAGAGCACAGAAGTGCCTGGCATCTCCAGAAAAAGTACGTTCTGTTGTGAATGTCAGGAGTCGTTCAGAGAGCTGAGTGAATAACTGCCAGAGACAACGACATCATCCTAAATCATCCTCCATCTCACCATAGGCTTTGGAGTGGGTTTAATGTTTATTTACGATTCCATCATATTTCATAGCTGATTTATGGAACCCATCATATATTGGCCCCAGAATCCGTCAGAGCTACTAGTGAGTTCATCTTCAAACTACTGGTTGGAGGAATAAGGTAGTGTGTTTTTCCTAGGGCTACGGTTTGTAGGTGGATATGACACTGGCAGTAAATTTCTTCGGTTTAGTTGTTCTTGGCACATTGAGGCACCCTTTAACACCAAACATACACATCAGTGTTAAAAAGTGAGAGAGTGGCTGGAGAGGTGGCTCAGCAGGTAAAATGCTTGCACGGGAAGTGTGAAGATCTAATTTCCAGTACCTAGGTAATAGCCAGGCATGGCAGTGCGTGTCTGTAACCCTGCCAATGAGAGGGGGAGATAGGAGGGTCCCCAGGGCTGCTAGCCAGCCAGTCTGGCTAAGCTGCTAAGTCCCAAGTCCAGTGGGAGACCGTGCACCCCCAAAATAAGTACATAAATTAATAAATCAGTGGAGGCGTGATTGAGGGAGACATCCAACATCAACTTTCACACGTACACGCACACACATGCAGGAGAAACCTGATTAGTAGCAAGCGGTACCGTGTTACGGATTAGGTTCTGTGGGCAAAATGTAGTCCAGGTTGAAGCGGCAGAACTCTAGGAAAGGTGGTTCCTTGTTACCGATGGCACAGGTAGCTTGGCTCTCTTCACCGTCTGAAATAAGCGTATCAGAGTGTAGCAGTTAGTGGGATGGCTTTTCCTTGTGGGACCTGCTTTCTGTGCACACTTAACAAGTATTCAGGACCTGTGTGTGTTTGGTTTTGGGAACACAGTGCTGAGCAAGCCTTAGGTTCTGTGCTAGCGTTGACCGTAGAGCGTGGTGGTTCCCCTAGACCAGTCATTTCCATCCCATAGAACCAGTTCAGGTCCTGAATGCTAGTGGCTTTTCCTGCATCAGCATTTTCTCCTGTGTAACCACCCTCTTGAGTGGCATCCTTCAGATAGGCAGCTTGACAGGTGTGTGGTGAAGCAGAGGTCTGCTCCTGAGTGAGTGTCCTCAGGAAGGGTGAGCATCTCTGCCTGCCCTAGAGGTGGAGAAAGATCCCTGCCATTTCCTGCCCCTGCATTTTTCTCACATTGAAGTTAGGAGATAAGGGTGCTTTAATGTTAACACTAACCCCCACATTCATTCAGCAGGTGTCTGTTGAGTACCCCATTCTCTCAGCAGTTGTCTGTTGGGTACCCCGTTCATTCAGCAGGTGTCTGTTGAGTACCCCATTCTCTCAGCAGTTGTCTGTTGGGTACCCCGTTCATTCAGCAGGTGTCTGTTGAGTACCCCATTCTCTCAGCAGTTGTCTGTTGGGTACCCCATCCACTCAGCAGGTGTTTGTTGGGTACCCCATTCACTCAGCAGGTGTCTGTTAGTGCACCCCACTATTCAGCAGGTGTCTGTTAGTGTACCCCACTATTCAGCAGGTGTCTGTTAGTGTACCCCACTCATTCAGCAGGTGTCTGTTAGTGTACCCCACTCATTCAGCAGGTGTCTGTTAGTGTACCCCACTCATTCAGCAGGTGTCTGTTAGTGTACCCCACTCATTCAGCAGGTGTCTGTTAGTGTACCCCACTCATTCAGCAGGTGTCTGTTAGTGTACCCCACTCATTCAGCAGGTGTCTGTTAGTGTACCCCATCCACTCAGCAGGTGTCTGTTAGTGTACCCCATCCATTCAGCAGGTGTCTGTTATTGTACCCCATTCACTCAGCAGGTGTCTGTTAGTGTACCCCACTCACTCAGCAGGTGTCTGTTAATGTACCCCACTCACTCAGCAGGTGTCTGTTAGTGTACCCCATTCACTCAGCAGGTGTCTGTTAGTGTACCCCATTCACTCAGCAGGTGTCTGTTAGTGTACCCCAATTCACTCAGCAGGTGTCTGTTAGTGTACCCCAATTCATTCAGCAGGTGTCTGTTAGTGTACCCCATTCATTCAGCAGGTGTCTGTTAGTGTACCCCATCCACTTAGCAGGTGTCTGTTAGTGTACCCCAATTCATTCAGCAGGTGTCTGTTAGTGTACCCCAATTCATTCAGCAGGTGTCTGTTAGTGTACCCCAATTCATTCAGCAGGTGTCTGTTAGTGTACCCCATTCTCTCAGCAGGTGTCTGTTGGGTACCCCATTCTCTCAGCAGGTGTCTATTGGGTACCCCATTCTCTCAGCAGGTGTCTGTTGGGTACCCCATTCTCTCAGCAGGTGTCTATTGGGTACCCCATTCTCTCAGCAGGTGTCTGTTAGTGTACCCCATTCTCTCAGCAGGTGTCTGTTGGGTACCCCATTCTCTCAGCAGGTGTCTATTGGGTACCCCATTCTCTCAGCAGGTGTCTGTTGGGTACCCCATTCTCTCATCAGGTGTCTGTTGAGTACCTTCTGAAACCGTGTGGTTTATCCAGATGGTAAAGTGGAGACTAAAGGAAGCCACCATGAATAGATTGATAAGTCACTAAAGCTTCCCAAGGGTGTCACATGCAGTCAAGGCAGAGGTGGAAGTTACTGCGCAGTGCTGCGCTGTGTGTAGGGAAGAAGCCTTGAGCGTGTAAAGGAGCCAAGCATGTCAGCTGTAGTCGGACTTTCTTTTCTCCTGCCAGCACTCCCAAATAATGGCCTGGAGATGTATTATTAATTATGAAACTTTGGCCTTTAGCTTAGTTGTTTTGAACTAGCTCTTATAACTTAAATTAGTCCATATTTTTATGAATCTCCATTCTACCACATGACTTTTACCTCTGTTCCATTCTGTGTGCCCGAATCATTCCACATCAGACTGGCATATTTCAAGCACCTAGATTCCACTCTCTGCCCGATGTCCCGCCTATCTCTCCTGCTTAGCTATTGGCCATTTAGCTCTTATTAAACCAATCAGAAGGTGCCTTAGGCAGAGACACACGGCTTTACAGTGTCAACGAATATCTACAACAGAAAATCATTTTGGAGAAAGGAGGCAGCGTGCATGAGGATCAACGCAGGTGCAGCAGATTGTGTACAGCGTTCTGAAGGAGCCATAGTCCTGTGGCTGCAGTCTGCACGGAATCATGCATGCAGTCATTTTATTAATATGTGTTCTCATTGCTCATTCGCATCACCGTTACTCACATAGTCCTGTGGCTGCAGTCTGCATGGAATCATACGTGCAGTCATTTTATTAATACGTGTTCTCACTGCTCATTCGCATCACCGTATAGATTTGCTATGTATGCTGCACACAGCAAACACTAATTACATGTTTGATGTATTCCATCCAGGTCTAGTTCCCAAGGAATTCCGTGTCTAGAAGGACAGCTGTGCTCAGGGCAGTGTGTTTATCGCAGGGTGTCTGGTAGGGGAGATGACTTGCTTGCAAGAAGCAGTATTTGAGCTGATATTGATTGATTGATTGAGGTGAAGGTTTGTTAGGCCTAACAGTGGAGAGCGCTGAACACAGCAGGTCAAGGTCAAGAGGCAAGAGGTAAAGAACTAGGGACTTGTTGATGCCTGGAGTGAGCAGTCCTGAGGTGAAGTCCTCAGAGGGCAGTGTAAGGTGCGACAGGAACTGGGGCCACAACCTGTAGACGTTAGAATGTCCGTGAGCGAGAAGCAGTGGAGTTGGGGAAGCTGGCCGAGGAGTGGCTGAGGATGGTGTGTGTGCATGTGCAAAGATTCAAGGGAGGGAGCAGTTCATAGACAAACGCTGGCAAGGTTCAAAACCAAGTCCGAAAAGTGGTTTTTTTGGAAGGAAGGGGCACTCCCAGAACCTTTCCAGAACAGCTTGTCCTGTCGTCATGGAGATAAGTGAGATTGCCGTGACCAAGGAGTGAGTAGGATGCAGAGAGGCGATGGTGAGCTGGAGATGCATTTCACGAATAGGTCACGTGGGGGAGCTGCACTTTGCGGTGATCGCGGGAGAGCTCATGTCCAGAGAGACAGTCTGGGGCATTGTTAATGCTGTTGGACAGGACCCAGAGGGGCGGGTG